CATCTCCTCTGACCCTCTTTTTATTTTTTTTAACAGCACGTAAGGTACTGAAGAAGAACTAAATGGCAATAAAAACACAGTTGCTTAAGTGGTTAGATAGTCTGTCCATCCCCAGAAACTTTGAAATCTCTAGGGAACTTGCCATTTTGATCAGAGCCCTCCACGGGTGTGTACGGCCTGTGAGGCACAGGTGACTGACAGGAGCTGCTCTTGCAGGTAAGAAGCAGTTCGCCGTCTTCGGGAGCACAGAAGCAGAGTCCTCTGATGACAGCCTTGTTGATCTGGTAAGTGCAGGACGACGGTCAATTGCAGAACCGCCAAAAACACGGGCTTTTATGATGAATTGGTGTTTCAGAGAAATGCGGTCTTTGGTGGAGCAAGTCGAGTAACCTTTTATGAAATAGACTTGCTTCCTCCCAGACAGCTCCCTTTTCCAAAGTGCTAATCTTTGAACTTTTTAAAAGAGGCAAAATTGAAGTCTGGGGAAAATGACGGGCACAATAAAATGACTGGGGTGTACACTCGCAATCTCCCCCCCCCCCCCAAGACAGGGTGCGAAAGGCCAGGCTGTGCTCCGGCGAAATCGGCGCACTCTCAGGACTAGTAAAGTGCCTGATGGTCTGTCAGGCACACCATCTGTTTGCCCTTCAGTGCTCAGCTGGCCAGCAGGCCACTTAACTCCATAAAGACGAAGAGGAGCCCCCCACAGAAACCGCAGCAGCCCCCTTGCTCCTTAAAGGACTGCTTAGACCCGAAACTCCTGTTCAAAATAAGTTGTTTCTCCCCCCCCCCACTCCAGGCTGTTGGACTCGGTGCCCGGTTTATCAAGTTGGGGGGTCTTTCTCGGGGTGAACGGGTGACCAAATACAACCGCCTCCTTACTATAGAGGAAGAACTCATCCAGAGTGGAACATGGGGTATGTGCTGCTTTCTCCTTTGCTTCCCCTTAGCCCTGAATAAGGGAACAAAGATGGGAAGGGAGCGAATAGGAGTCCCGGCAGGAGGGCGGGACAACCCAAAGACTACAAATCAGTGCTGACTCGAGCAGGATGGCACTTGCCACAATGTCCATTGTTGGCTTAATGGATTATCTATTTACCTGAATGCTTAAGGCTCTCACCACCCTTCTCCTTGCTGAATCGGCCGCTTGGTGCTTTTCAATGGAATTAATTGATTGGAATCTCCAAGCCGGCCTTTTGTGATGGCCCAAATTATACTTAAGGTTTCTCAGCACAGCCCCTGGAAGCTACAGGCAGATGTGTTCCTCCTGGAAACAACTTGTTTCACGTCCCACAAGTAGGCAGCACGTTGATTCTGGCATGGTGCCACGGAGAGGATTAAGTGTCCCCCCAACCCCCCAAGAAAGCAACTGACCGCTTATGAAACCCAAACTTTGTAAATCTGCATGGGGAGCTTCTTGTGTCCCCGTTGCAGAGAAACTTACTAAATATTCACTTCTAAAGGCAGTCCAAAGCGTAGTCTGTGTTGTTTACTGGGTGATAGATACAACAGCTCGTCCTCTCCCACAGGCAAAATTATATTGTTCTAAACGTCCTTCTGGTTTGTGGGGCCTTCAAAGACCTCTCCTATTTCCAGTCTCCAAGAAACTGCTGCTTCAGAGCCCTGGGAGACCAGAGGCCCAGCCCCTTGTTAGGTGCTAGGCCAGTGGCCCTGACACTCTGGAATGAATTAGGGCGATTAGTGAGAATGTCTCGAAAGCTGTTAGACGAACACCAAGAACACCCCAAATTAGCAAAATAAATAGCTCTACTCTCGCTTTTGAGGAGAGGCAATCTTGGCAAAATGTCAGCCACTAAAGTGTGGTTGTTATTGCGGACAGTTCTGGTTTCCCCTGGGGTAGTTGGTGCTCATTTGTATTCTTGTGCAGGGCTGGGCTTTGCTGGTGTAAGTCAGTGTCCTGAATGTCACAGTAGGTGTAACACAAACAGAAGGGAACAAGTGACAGGCTGCTCTGAGAGTCTGGAACCTTTCTGGATGGGTCCGATGATGATACCAACGTCAGAATCGGCCCCGCTGGTCAGGACTGTGAACTTTTTCTCTGCTTCTTAAATAGGTTTCAGTGAGGAACACAATTTTTCTTCCTTTCAAGAGGACGCTGAGAAGACACCAGAGGCTACCGCCACAATGGCCGAGGAAACTCTGGGACCCCTGGATTCTGTCTCCCCCACAGAAGTGGAGGAACCCACTAAAACATGAGCCTCATGGGGCCGGACTCCTAGACAACCGCAAGCGTTGTCTAGCCGGTGTGACATGCGTCTGTCTCCTCCATGCTGGCTCTACTCTTTAACTCCACTGACTTGTGCACAATTTTTGTTCTTTCAGTTTCACTACTGGATAAAAAAATATAACCCTGGTGGTTTTATCTGAAGCTCTGTGAGCTTTATTTTACAGCCATCACGTTGCCACAGGGGACACAGGCCTACTTCTGAAGGCCATGACCTACAATCTGATGCCAGGCCCACACTCAGCCATGCGCCTTACCCCTCACAATCAGAACACCTTTAGACCCAAAAGGCTACCCCCCCAACAGCTCTCAGTGCCCCACGGGTGTCCACCCTTTCTGTGAGGACCTCTGCTAACTTCAGGTGGTTTTCGTAGCCAGCCACAAGCACCAGGCACCACCACGGGGCTGCCCGTGTCTGCAGCAACACTTTCATCTTAGCCCCCTAGGCTTGGTTGCCCGCCGCCCCTCCCTTCCGCTATCATCATTCTCGTATTATTTTCTCCTTAGACCCTCTCTGGAACAAAGGTGTGCATAACTTAATAAGCACACTTGTAAGCAAACATTCGGTGCCCCCTTATGTACACCACAGCATGGAGGAGGGGCAGCAAGTGGTTAAAGACAATGACACATCCGTGATGACAGAGGCGTCTCTTGTGAGAGTCAGAGCTGGGCTGTGAGCAGAGAGTATCAAAGTGAATGCTCAAACGCGGAGAGAACAGCAGCCCCTTGACATTACCTGTTAGGTGAGTTAGTCCCAGGGCTGTTTGTAACTGAAGACTGTATGAATTGCAGCGTCCCAACCCACAGAAGAACTATTTCAGTTGGGGCTTAAAAGGGTCTGCTTTGAAGAGGATGACCAAGGGAACGCCATGTCCTCACTCACGGGAGAACCAGCTCCTCCTCTCAACACTACGATCTCTCAACAGTGGCAGACTCTGGAGCATGGCATGGGGAGGGGACTGGTTAGCATCACTCCAATCTTGGGAAAATGTGTCACAGTTTGCAGTGGCAACTGTCTCTCTCGACACTTAACAACAAACAGTGGGGCACAAGAAATTGAAAGGAAAATCCATTTTCAAAGTCAGGATGGATAAGACAAGGTGTTCACCTGGCCCTAGCAGTAGCGCGCGCGCGCGCACACACACACACACACACACACACACACACACACACACGGTGTGAGCATGCCTTGCAGTAGGTATACATTCTAATCAATGAAACCAGAGCAAAGTAATAACCAGGTCAGTATCTTTAATGTCAGCCCAGAATGCACTCTGCTGACATTAGCCTTTCTGGAGGACTGTGCACCAGTGGTCTGGGAACTTTTCTTAGAGGGCTAAGCACTGCCTCTACTATTATTTATTCATTTTCTTATTCACACTCCTTTCCCTCTTCCTCACCCTCCTTCCCTTACTTATAAAATACATGATATTATATCTACAAGGGGATGAAAGGAACTAGCCATGGCCTAGACTAAAAATGATTGCTTTGAGATGGGAAACCGTGGGATGGAGAGGAAGCCATTCCAGGGCTTGTGTAACAATGACAACTGGGTCACTCATCCCCTAGAACTGCTCACGTTGCTCTGGTGGAAGTGATTTGAGCCCAACATGCAACCTAAAGAGGTCTGGAAAAGACGACCCAGGGTCATGTTGACCTTCCCTGCGCAATAGCCCTCTTACTGTTCAGCATCAGGGTGTTGGTGGCCCTGGTGACTCCTGTCAAGCAGATGCAGCAGTCAGGAAAACTAATGACTATGATGGGAGTTTGTGTGGGACTTGCTCAGACATAGAGGCTGCAGGTATCTGAATGAAGTTCTTACCCCTCTGCTCCAGCAGAGGAGAGAGACTGAATAGCATAAAGGGCCTGCATGCCTCTCGGCCCCACCATGGCCGTACAAGTGTCAGAGGTAGTCAAGAGAGCTACAGCAGAGGCCTAATCCGTATCTTCAAAACAGAATAATTGTCCCATCTAGCGAAAAGAGAAATGCATGGTCCCCCAAAACTGGAAGACCACGTGAGTTGAACACATAGAAGAAGCCTTTCTGTACACACAGCCAAGAGCTTACCTTGGAGATCTAACACACCACCTGTTTTATCAACAGTCACCCTGGCCAAAGGCAGAGAGAGCTTTGGAGCTGAGATGAAACTAAAAAAATAAAAAACTTTAAGGAAAGAGTGTGCATCACAGCCATTTGCAAGGCTTTGTGGTCACAGGGAAGGAAAGCACGTTTTTAAAAGCATAAAAGGCAAAGATGCTTTCAAAGCACCAGGTACAGAGAGACAGCTGGTCCAGCCAGCACATCTCACCTAAAGGTTAACTCCTGCTGGAAACGAGGCTGCTTTTTAAACCGTGCCGTTCTGTGGATACATGTGATGAAATAATACAGAAAGGTGGTGGGCCTATTTTCGTATTCCTAGATGTGTGTAAGACTCCAGAAGCACAGAAGAGAAGGCTCTCTCATGAAGACTACTGCTGCTACCTCACTCTTCTACGGAAGAGGGGCAAGACTGGCTCAGCCCATGGCTGGGGAGGTAGGTCGGTAGCAGGAAGTTTGCCTGGCATGCAAGACGCAGAATTCTACGGAAGTGCCCCTCCGGGGTGGAGATCTTCAACTGACCCTTAATGAGAAACCATTGTGTGTCTGCTTTAATGTGTTGTGTCGAGGAGAGTTCAAATCACAGCACAACAGAACCCATCTCAACAAATCAATCCACGTGCAGTTAGCATATCATTCAGTTATGGAAACACACAGTTGAAAAAAAGAAAATCACGTTTTAATTCCCCATGAGCGAACTGACAGGGAGCGATAAAACCAGCACTGAAGGAACATGGGAACGGTCAAGCCTAATGAACCTACCCAAAGAGAATTGTCTTCAAATTGAGGAAGTGCCCTCACCTGCCTCCCCACCTCCTCAAGCCTACACTAGCAGCACACGTGCAAAAACACAATAGGATACAACTACTGCAATTGTTACTATCATTTTCTTTTGCCCTTAGGTGCAAAGCACCTGACAGCTACATGCTGAGTCATGCTAACAAAACTAAGCCTTTCACTTTCTTTAATAGTAAAATTACCATTACTGAATCATTATCATAAAAAGTGCATTCAAGTACATTACCACTTATTTTAAATAAACACCAATTTTGAAACAATCAACTTTAAAAACCTGCATAAGTTGTTTTTTTTTAAATCCCTGATTACATTTCTATTTATTCACTGTGGTAGTCTGAAACATTGTATTTTTAGAAACTGCCACTTAATTTCCTCTAGAAAACAAAACAAAACAAAAAGACCCATGTAATATAGAAAGGCGGGGAAGCAAGAAAAAAAAAAACGTGTGCTTGTCACTTATCTTCACTGTGCATAAGGACTGGAGTAAAATACAGTGTTTGTGCCACTTGAGTGGATGGGAAAACACAGTTAACTCGTGGAACAGAAAATATGGTTAACTACTAAGGTGGTTCCTTTTAAATTCAAGATTTGAGCTTCTGTTTCCTTTCTCTATTCAGCAACCGGATCATGACTCCTGAAGTCCTTGGAGAGCCTTGGACACTGGCATGTTTTTCACAAAGCCACAACTCAGAAACCTCGAGGCTTGATGCCACCTCTCTGGGCTCTACACTGTGGGTGGTCTCAGCGCAACCTACAAAACGGAGGTGCCACTGGACCCCCTTCACTTCCGGCCAGTTTCAGTTTCCCCACCAAAAGACCAGACCCAAGCAGAGGCTCCTTTGGGAAACCTTTCTTTAGATGGAGTCTTGTAGTGTGACCCAAACTGAAGTCCAGGCTCCAGTCATCCTCCTGCCTCAGTCTCCCTGGTGCTAGGGCTGCACATAGAAGATTTGGACTAAGATCACTTTTAAGCTCCGGTGGCCCCTGTTTATCCAGTTACTGGCAACCACCTCGAACTTCAGCATGACTAAACTTGAAGAGTAGTCTGCAGGTTCCCTTACAAAGACAACATCTGAGCTTCCCGCCACCTTCCCCAAGGAAGTCATACTTCATACAGAAACCAGAAAGAACCCCAACCCCTATAAAGATTAAAAAAAAAAACTACCCAGAAGATGCATTTTTTTTTTTGCTAAACAGCTTACTTATGTTTATGATTGCTACTTTACAAAGTGATACCAGCAAATAAGTGTGTGGACCAGAGCAAAAGAGTGTCCAGCAGTCCTCGACAGGACACCCAGATGAACCATGTGCTTAACTAGTAACAACAAGGACCCCACACACGCCGGCCTCTGCCTCCCCATCAGCAGCTGGAACTGTCCGTCTCTCCCGCTGCTTTCCCACCGCCGTCTTCCTTGCATTCTGGCTGCATTTCTCCTCCTCCTCCCTCCTTGCATCGGGTCGGGTCTCTTTCAGCAGCCTGGTCTTTGGTTTGGGGTTCACGTGTGGAAACAGGATCTAGAACTACAACTGGCTCAGCTCGCTCCTCACCGCCCACACACTGTCTCCCGTGTCCACCTTTACTGGGAGGCCTGTAAGAAGAAGAGTCAAATAGAGAAATAAGCTGAGGAAAACATTTGCCTTTCAGATTCCTGGATTCAGGAAGACAGCAACAAAAGTCCTAAAGTCTAACTAACCAACATGCATAGCATGTAGTCTTTGAGATGCAAGCCATTATATATATATATATATATATAAAAGCAGAAGCTATCAGATTACATAATAGGAGCAGCAGGCCAGAGAAGAGAAGGCAGAGAAAGTCAAAGCAATTAACTACGGGGAAGTAGTCAAAAGCCAACTGCACCTACCTGCTTACTCACATTCTGCTCTCAGGAAATACACAGCCCCTGGCTCACTGTGCATTCCCAAACACTACCCACACCAGCCCTGTCCTTGTTCAGCTACAGGAACCAAACCAGCCTCCCGCTCCCTCCTGCCCCAACCCAGTACAGCTGTTTGCCACTTAGCTGTGAAGAGGCTGCATGGAGAGGGCCGGGGACCACCCCGGCTCAGTGATGGGCAGATGAGAGTGGCAGCCAGCTGTGTCCACCACGGCCATTACCACCAGGAGGGACCCCTGACCTCAGGAGGCAGGCGGAGAGAAGGGCTGATGGGAGAGCTCCAGGAAGACGCCCCGACACCGAGAGACCAGAAACTTCTGTAATCAGGGACCTGGTTCTTGAAGAGGCTTCCTACAGTTTCCTCGCCCCCCCCCCCAGAAACTGCCTCCCTTCTGAAGCCAGACACTATTGTTTTCATGCCACGCAGGTGACTGAAACAGAAGTGTCCCTCAAACATAGCCTCTTGTTATGCGCCAGGCTGCGGGGCCCTGAGTCCTCTCAGAAGTCTTGGTCAGCACCCGCCCTGGGCAGGTTTGGGGCTGCAGAGGTTGTCTAGAGGAAATATGGCAGCTCTGACACGATCACTCGGTCCTCCGGGTCGATTCTAGGACAAGACATTTCCATTCCAGAGGACCCTGAGCCAGGACCCTGCAGGCCCACCTGATGTGTTGATACCTTAGTGTCCTGCCCACTGCTCTGCCTGTCAACACCACTGATTTCCACTGCCCCAAGCAGGTCAGATCTTAGCTGCTCTCACATGTAGTGGTTCTCCCTCTGGGGACTCACCACAGTTAAATAATCGCTTCTTGTCTGTCTCTCTGAAAACATATGTCTAAGATTCTGTCCCCATCACCTACTGCAGACCATGTGTAGAGTAAACAAACATAGCAAGCTAGAGAAGACGAAGACACCGAGAGAAAACTTTGCTGAGGGCAGAGCTGGAGGTCTCTTCTGCATATGGAAACAGAACAAGCCATCCATTACGGAAGGTGGCCTGCACGACCTGCTCACAAGGCACAAAAGCCAGAACCCCAAAGACCACGCTTATCACTACAAGCTCTGTCCAAATGCTTGAGAGGCGTTCTCTGGCTGTCAGGTCGTATTGGAGACATGGCTTGGCCATCACACTATGTGACAACCACATGGCATTGTCTTCCTTGGGAGTAGTGGAAGGAAGGAGACCCTCGGGGATGGAGAGAAGAGAGACCATGATGGCTTTGTCCTTCTGCCTCAGCCAACGAAACATTTCTCAAAACACCTGTCACTATGTCCTAGAGATGGGCTGGGGTGCCGTTTCCTCGATAGTACCCATCCAGGCTTTCTCTGGCCCAGGCAACATTTTACAGCTCATTATCACAAAAAACAGAGACCCTAATAAGAGCGGTTACAGGAAGTAGACCCTGGGCAACAAAGGACACTAACTACTGGGTAGTGTGTGGGAGTCTGCCATCTCCATGCATGAAGTTCAGGCGTTCTGACAGCTGAAAGGCAAGACAGCCGTAAACTGGCAGAGACTGAGGACGAACTAGAAATGCATCTTCCTCTGACAAAGGCTACTCAGGCTGATGCACCAGGCCTGCAGGACAAGCTGAGCGCTATCACTTGGAACTGCACATGCATCAGAGCTGGGAGGTGGGCAAGCTGGAGAAGCTGGGAGGAGCTGCAGGACGGATCCATAGGCTGGCCGCTGCCACACAGCAGCTAGGTGAGTTAGCATACCATGCCCTACATAAGCCATCCCATGAACCTTCTCAGGGCTTAAAAAGGCGCTCTTAAAAGATTACTGTCTCGCTTCTGCCTTGCATAGCTCATGTAGATTCCTCTCATGGCCTACCAGAGGGATTCCAGGGCCACATGATGCCTGCAGGTCAACTCCAGTTAGCTTCACCAGCTTGCTTGTGAGCCCACCACTGTCAGCCAGCCAGCCTGCTGGAAGCATGCAAAGGAGTGTCACTCATTCTGCCACTTGGAGGGAGCGACTACCATCGGTCCATACCAACCTTTGCTGCTGCCTGCCGTGAACTACCGTGGGTGCTTCCGCGCCCCCCCGTGTATCTGCAGGCGAAGGATGGTTAGCAACTCCTAGCAAAGGCTGTCTTCATCAGCCGGGGATGAGACATTTCCGGGAACTGCTCTCAGCGTCCTGTGGCAGCAACACACAGGCCGATTGAGCTGAAGACCTAGAAACCCTGGGCTGTTGGGTTGAAACTGTTTCTGGAATAGTCTCTGTCACTCTACCCGTCCTCAAGCAAGCCAGCCTGAGAATCCCATGGTTGACTCTCACTGAACTAGGCACAGGAGGTACTGCCTGAGAACCCCAGGGCAAGATAGAAAGGGATGAGAGTGGTCATCCATCCAAGCTTCCCTTTTCTAAATGGAGATGGTCCTGGGAAGAGGGGGGGGGACAGAGAGAGAGACACACACACACACACAGAGAGGGGGGGAGACAGACAGAGAGAAGAGAGAGAGAGAAGAGAGAGAGGGGGAGAGACAGAGAGAGAGAGACAGAGAGAGAGAGACAGAGAGAGAGAGAGAGAGAGAGAGAGAGAGAGCTTGCTATTTGTCAGTGTCAGTGCCAGCATCAGAGTCTGAGCTGCCTCCTCCCTCTCTCTTCTCTTGGTACCGAGCTATTTTCCAAATGTAACATCGGTGCCACAGGCTAATTGTGGGCATCTTTTACTAGTTTATTTCCATTGTTTGCACCAGCAACTTTCAGATCAGGCTGCAGTTTGTAGTCAGTCCTCCCTGGTTTGACGTCACTAGGTCCTTCCTGGGCTCCCTTGTGGAGCTGCCCAAAGTTCCATGCTGAATGAGAAACCTTCCTCCCCGGCCAGCCAGGGCGACATTCTTTCTTCTCTGTCCCCATGATGTCATTGATGGTTAGCTTGACAGGATCCAGGATCAATTAAGAGACAGGCCTCTGAGTGTGCTGGCGAGGAATTACTTAGACTAGGAGAATTGAAGTGGGAGGACCGACCGTGAATGTGGGTGGCACCATTCCCTGGGCTTGTACCCTGAACCGAATGAAAAGGAGAAAAGAGCTGGCCCGCAGTGTTCATTGTCCTCGGCTTCCTAACCGTGGATGCCAGTGTGAATAGCTGCCTCATCCTCGTCCAGCCCCCACACCTTCCCTGCCAGGATGGACTAACTGTACCCTCAAACCGAGCCGTAATTAGTCCTTTCTCCCTTAGAGGATTTTATCACAGCAGCAACAACAACAAAAAAGCTATTACTAATACAGTCCTACTCCTATGTCCTTCAGGGACAGCACTGAGAGCCCAGCCATGGGGGGCAGGGTCTAGAGGTCTGAATCTGAGGCTTCTTAAAGCTCAAATCCCAAAAGCTCAAGCAACGCTGCAGGGGGGGGAGGGGGGAGGTGTCACAGTGCACCCTCCCTCTGTCCACTGTCCCTCTGTCCACTGCCACCTACTTCAAGGCAGCATCGAAGGAGGCCGACCACAAATAAGTAAGGAAAGTTCGTAAAGCATAGTGGCAGCCTTTCTCCTGGGCAGCAGAATCGGTAAAGCAAAACTGCTGAGTCACGGGGGTGGGAGGGTGGGGTGGGGGAGTCAGGACAACTCCGTGAGTCCATCTGGTCCCTTGCCCTCGTCAGATGCTTACTCTAGGAGAGCAGGCTAAGCGGACCCACCCACCAGCAGAGCCTTTATCAGTTATCTTGGGGCCCACACCGCAGAATCTTTGCAAGGATTTCTCTTCTTTTTTTTTTTTTTCGAAATACTTGTAGTTATCTGTGATGCACTCAAATAGACCCTATTCATGGAGCTTTCTGGATCACGTGGTCAACAGTTGTTTCAAGACAAAAAGAAAAACACCAAGGAAAAGCTAGGATTCAATATGTTAACAATCTGCAACTCTTTTTTTTTTTTTTATGAGTGACAGCTGCTGCCATCCTACCGAAGGAGAGCCAGAACAAGGAGCTCTGGTGGGTGAGACCACCGCCTTGCTGGTAAAAGGAAAAGACCTGACTCCAAACCACACTGGAGCGAGAAGAATAAGAAGTGTTGCACGAACAGTTCCACCAAAGCTGAACTTGGTGAAGGGATTCGGTGATTTCTCAGACTGTGTCACAGGAGACGGAAGGGAAGCACTCTCCATGCACCCCCCAACCCCAAAAGCCTGTCATTGTTTGCATTCAATGAAATTCCTTTCAAAATCAACTTTCCACATCCCAATTATATTCAACAACATTCTAGCTAACATTTCGGCTGCAATTCAAATTAACTAATGCCCCAAAGAGCCCCTAATCGGCACAGTTCTGAGCTCAATTGAATACAATCAAAGCTCAGGAAACGAATGGGTTGGGGGGGGGCACGCTTATTTCATGCAAATTCCAAATATCGCTCAAGCTTAATTTTACTGATAATATAAAGGTGGACATTTTGAACATTGCAGTGAGTGAAACCTTTAAGCGGTGAGAGTTATTTTATAAAATGCTACCTCTGAAAAGCTGATTGCCAAACAGTATAAAAATGGTTTGAGGCATAAATGCCAAGTTCATTTCTATTTCACTTCTGAGGTAACTATCTTTCAAATCGCAACAGCTGGACTATTTAACACAATCCGGTGAATCACAGTGTAGCGCTTCTCTGGTCTCCCAGCGGGGCGTCTGCATTAGTCCATGGCAGCCATCCAACAAATGACGTGCAGAGGCCGGCCTGAACTCTGTTTCA